GAAATGAAGTTCCCCCTAACAATGTTATCTCAGGAGATTCATCGAAACCAAGTTTCTCTTCGTATCTACGTCAACTTGAACTTCGCTTTAACGCCAAACGGATGCAGTACAACGAGAATCAGATCGAGATCGACCTTCGAATATCTCCTAAATGCACTTTCATACGAAATGAAGGCTGGCAACCCGTGGCCTTTTATTTTGGTTTAGTCTATTGTTGCAGTGGTCCGTAAGGTATGCTTTCTCGCTCTGACGATGTCTGCCGTGGCGGGACAGACGAGAACTGAGCACGCCACATAACTAAGGGACTCTTCCTGTGGATGCAGTAGACTCCGGGAGGAGTCGTCAAGATTGGCAATGGCATTCGCCTGGCTCGGTTCCACCTTTATAAATGGAAAAATGAATATTTGCGCACACCAACATCTGCTACTTTTTGTGCATCCCCAGGGAAGAGAAAGATTCGAAATTCATATGAGGTAGTAAATCTATGCGAAGTAAAGTTGGATTTCAGGGAATCTATTATTTAATAAATGTTGAGCTTACTTCCATTTCAAATGATAGTGTTTGGTGAAGAGTTTCGAAGGTCGATCCTATCAGAAGAAGACGACGTATTTTTCTTGAATAGCTATAGAATAGCTTTACTGAAGCATACTTATCAAAGCTATTTCCGAAAAAATCTTCTTCAATTCCGGTGAAGGAAAGTTGGGTTTCGATGAATCTCTCGTTTCATAAATTTTGTGCTTACTTCCATTTCGAGTGAAAGTGTCTGGTGAAGAGATTCGAAGGTCGGTTCCACCAGAAGACAACGGCAGATTCCTCTTGACCAGCTGTCGATTGGCTTCACTGGAAGATTCATGTTGACGATGTTTCCGAGGCAATCTCCTTCGATTCCGATGAAAAGGTGCTAAGCTTTCGTCCGTCATATGACGAATATCATCAGAGCAAGGTATCATCGTCACAACCAAATTCAAGCTAACGAGTCTAGAAAATTCACAGGCAAATCCATAAAAATTGGTATATATACTCTACATCTGGACTCAAAGGTCCAAGTAACTAGCGTTCTTGCCTCTTCCAGTCTGGATTTCCTTAACAGTGGAATTCGCCCTGTGACTCCATAGCACCCAGGGCAGTATAGCTACTTGGCTCGGGCTCGAACTCCGTTGGGGATGAATTCGGATCTGCAGCCCATTCAAGAGCAGGAAGTCCTTTGGGAGACAAAGCCTTATGAAATCAAATGTCCTCCTGTGGCGAAATTCCTCCATCAGTGCTTGCACAACATCGCTTAAGAGTAGTGAATGCTGATTCCGCTAAATCCGGGACCAAATCTCGCCTCTCTCCGAGACTTCTACCTCAAGCCTTTGTCTATTCCCATGACAACAGTGCTGGGAATTTCGAAGGCTTGAATATGAAATACTCCCCTAATGACATAGTGCCTTTCGATATTTCATTTCAGGAGATAAGTTTATTGATATAGAGAGAAACTAGTTACTGGCGCTGACTATGCCTTCATTTAGAGTATTTTCGGAACTGTTTATAGACCAAGTTGTTATAAAATCCTTTGCACATGTGCAAGAAACCTGTCGGTCGACGAAAATGTTTCCATTCTGAAAATAGGCTGAATTGGCACGGATGAGGTGCACTGCTATTACTCATTGGGTCTTGCCCTAAACCATCAGTAGATCTTGAATAAGATTTGTATTCTTCCAAAGTCTCATAAAGTCAAATCTTCCTACGTTCATACAATTCGGCTTCCTCTGACTTCCAAAAGGTGTCCACATCTCGGCAGCCTCCACCTCGCCTCGGTCGAAACTGCGGCCAGCACCGGTCCTGGATGAGAATACGTTTAGGAAGCAAAGGCATCATGTGAAAGGCGATAGAAGTACGAGTCCCACTCATTTGAATAAGGAAGAAACGACCGATCAGTCCTCCCTCACTGTATACGACCTCGGCTGAACACGGCTCTTAGTAAAACTTGTGTTTTGCTATTACCCTCAACTATGCTACTTATATTCATAGCAAGTAGGTTTCGAGACTCCCAGATAAGCTTGAGTAAAAGTTACCGTCCTGCACTGTCGCGGTTCGAATCCTGCTGAGGGTGTTGATAAGACCAATGCGAGGTCGAAACTG